TGTTTCTCTGCTTTACTGCTATTGATGTCCTGCACCTCTGTGTCATCCACCGCCACCTGTTGCCGCAGTCGTGGAAAGACACTGCGACCATCATCATCGTCGTCGTCGTCACAAGGAAAGCTTGGTTTGCAGGCTGGCTTTAAAATACACAGGTCCCATAAGCGAGTAGATAAAGAAATAAATAAATGAACTATTTCTAAACATTTATTTGCGCAGTTATTGTAAAGGAATTCAATTCTATTTTGCGTCAAATCACAACAACAGTCGCCTCAAGGCGCTTAATATTGTGAGGACCCAACAGTAACACAGAGAAAACAGGAAACCCCATCAATCAGACAACCCACTGTGACCAAGCACTTGGGCGAAAGTGAGAAGGAAAAACTCTCTTTTAACAGGAAGAAACCTCCAGCAGAATCAGGTGAGACTGGTTGGGGGTGAGGGGAGGAACACAGGACAAAGACATGCTGTGGAAGAGAGCCAGTTTCATAATAACGCATAATAAAAGGTGTATAAACACATAGTGAGTGAAAACGGGTGACAGGAGAAACACTCAGTGCATCATGGGAAGTCCCTAGCAGTCTAAGCCCATTGCAGCATAAGTGAGGACTTGGGGTCACCTGATGCACCCCCAACTATAAGCTTTGTCAAAAAGTAAAGTTTTAAGCCTAGCCTTAAAAGTAGAGATGTGTCTGTTCTAGGACCCACAAGCAAACCAGCAGTCTGAGAGCGAAGTGTCCTAATGGGGTGATACAGTACTACAAGGTCATTAAGATAAGATGGCACCTAATGATTCAAGAACTTGCATGTGAGGAGCAGGATTTTCAATTCTATTTTGGATTTAACTGGAAGCCAATGAAGAGAAGCCGATATAGGAGAAATATGCTCTCTCTTTCTAGTCCCTGTCAGTACTCCTGCTGCAGCATTTTGGACCAACTGAAAGCTTTTCAGGGAGTTTTTAGGGCATCCTGATAATAACAAATTACAGTAGTCCAGCCTAGAAGTAATAAATGCATGAACTATTTTTTGAGACTCTTTTGCACCAAGAGGAGAAATCAGTCCTACATATTTCTTTAATATGTGTATTGAAGGACAGGACAAAAATGACTACGAGATTTCTCACAGTGTTACTGGAGGGCAAAGTCGGGCGTCATCTGCATAGAAGTGAAAATGTATGCTATGACTTCTAATGATACTGCCTAAGAGACACATGTATAAATCTTTAATTTCACAGGTCACTGAAAGATCAGTCCGAGTCCATCCCAGGCTACTCCGGCTAGCCATCTTACTGGTATGAAAACATCTACTATCCACTATAATTTAGGTGATTCATCCAGTTTCATGTTAGAGATGGGGGTCTCAAGAAAGACAAACCCACTATTTATTATTTAAGTATTTTATACATAAAACTGTACAAATATTCAGCTTGTTTTACATTATATGAAAAAAACTTTCAGCACACTTCACCAAATTCACTTTGTTTCTTTTCCTCACACTTGATTGGGTCTGGTGCTTGCCCTTAATTGCACTCACCTGTCACACATTATATAAGGACTGCACTCACCTACAGCTCACTTTCACTCCTTCCCCTTTCCCACATGGGGCATCAGCTGAGGTGAGTTTTTGTTTGGGTGTCCTCAGTTCACGTATTATTCTAATTTAATGAATGACTTAAATCAAATGTTTCTTTTCAGAGTTAGTAGTCCATGTGTGTCCTTCAATACTGATTATTCAGTTAAACGAGAAACCTGTAAGTGATTGATGACTGTTCATTCTCATTCTGATCAGATGAGCCCATGATGGTAACAAGCTCCCGCTTCCTCTGAACCACCTCCTCCTTAACAATAAACAACAAAATATTAACAAACAGAAGAAAAATTTAGGTGAGCATGTCTTTTTCCTTTCCAATATTAATGAACAGTCTTGGAATATCTGTATAGTTGGTCATCTGTTTGCAAACCTGTAGAAATTCAATTATATTGATTTTGCATACGTTCATAGTGGTTGCTTTAAGGTGCTTTAATTTTATTAAGTGAACAATAGATGATCTTTGAGCAGCAAGTTCAGTAAGGGTCAGGATCTGCTTCATCTGGAGGTGAAGGTAAAGAAGAGGAAAAGAGCACAGACATCACGAGAGGGAAGAGAAAAATTTAATGACACAAATAGATGGCATAAAAACTCTAGGGGAGTGACAAGAGGTGAGTCCTCCAGCAGCACAACTAAGGGGTGAATGCATTCTGAATACAAGAGAGCAGAAAAGGGGAAAAAAAATCATCCGGATTCATTTTTTCCTAATGAAACAGTTAACAGTCTGTACAGAGTTTTCATCGGATTGCAGTGCACCCCCGAGTCTGGTCATGCTTTCCATCTCATCATGCT